AACATCACTTGTACAAAATTATAGCTGACAATCAACGCCCAGTACTGTTACTTGAAGGCGTATATATCGAAAATATTCGATATAGCGCGATAAATATCAGCTAAAACGATGCTTAAGTATGTGAATATTGAACTTCTGTTGCACTACCCTATCAAGGGACTGCACATAAAAAAGGTCTACATATTTCCTCATTCACTTTAGCCTTACTAAAATAGAGCTACAATTTTGTCTTGCCTTGTGTGTCACAAATTAGCATAATAAATAGTTGAAGTGGTGCTATTGATTGATTCATGAGTACTGATTATTACACATCTGGTGTTGGCCTCATAAGGCCTTCTGTGAAAGAAGAGTTTGCTACATAAGGTACGTAGCCAGGATATTTAGGGGGGGGGGGGAAGGGCTGTCGAGAAAAGAAGCGCGGAGGAGAGAATGACACTAGCTAAGAATAGTAAGTGGTGTTCAGCGCTTATTGCAGCTTACCTCCATCAATAACATCGCAGAACGAGTTAGCTTCGGGCCCCCTGCACTGCCTACGCACCTATACCACAAACACTTTCTTTTTACTGATCAATTATGTTTGTTTGTTTGTGGAACCCACTTCTACTTTCGCCTAAATTACACGAACACTATTTTTAGGTCCAGCACTAAACTTTAGAGCTTCGCACGTTCACTCATTGCCTGTAGAAACTTGTTTTTAGTGCGCTATTCTTCACATCTATTTATCACAATTACTTGGATTCACGTAAAACAGTTTCCTTAAAGTATCCAATATTTTCCTTGGCTTCATTATCTGCTGGTTCTGGTTAACGTTGTGTCAGACAATAAAAACTGGCCCTCAAAACTTTCTTCCAATTTTCTCTAATATGACGGATGCTGCACCAGAGAATCGCCATCTCTACCTTCGTTGGTGCCGTCTCAGTTTGACTCTTTTACAAAGACAAAACAAGATTCAGGAAAAAGTTGACAATTTCGTTTTATATTTTTATTCACGTGAATGAAGCTAAGATGAAGAGGACACACAGATCACCCGCACGGAGCTACAAGCCGCACAGTTGTTTTGTAGTGATTCATGAGTGAGTGAATCAACTTTATTACAACATACAGCATTCTCGTGGTCCGCGTTAGACCACACAGGTAGTTACCGGGACATTTTCTCTCCGTGCAGCCTCGCTGGCCTGCTGGATAGCCCATTCTTGGTCTTGGACCTCCAAGCTGAGCAGCGCTAGCCGTCACTACTCTCGCAGGGCCTCAGGAGAACTTGTTCATAAGTTGGGACATTCCCACAGTATATGTTTATAAGATGCATTTTCTGTAATGCTTACTTTGCATGTATTATCCACGTAAAAGTGTGGACAGCTACAAACAAACTCCTGCCCAAACCGTGTACACCTTTTTTGAAAGTGTACAGGGTTTGAATAAGAGTTTCTTTCTAGTTCTCAATAGTGAGGGCTTGTTGCCTGGCTACACTTGTATGAGGTGCGAATGAGACGCGCCTTGGCTCTCTGTGATGTTGATTGTATTCTGTGCAGCACGTTAATCAGTCTTTTTTTGGAACGTTGGCATTGCCTGAAATGTTCACGAATAGGTTTGATAGGGGTGCGCGGTGAGTCAATTCACGCGGTAAGTCGTTCCTTGGAGGTATCGATTTCTGTGATAGCCGAGAACCATATTAGGCCTTAGGGTTCAGCAACTTTGTTGAGTTCTTCTCTGCTATCGAGGATTCTGAAGGCTTGTTGTGAAATCCATGCTTGCGTAAAATTTTGGTTAGCTGCTTGCGAGTCACTTATTATGAACGTGTGTTTGTTGTACCCATGGCTATGGCTACTCCCTATGCTTCATCTACATTGCTAGTTGCGCAGCGATTCATCCACTTTTTCTATTTAACAACATGACCTTGAAACGTACAGATATAACGCTATGACTTTTAAAAGCGCAACCATTTAACTAACATGGAATCAATGACACTTCATCGGCAAATTTTGTTGTTACCAACGCTTACCTCTGTGGCGAAAGTTAATCACCTAAATTATAAGTTAGGTGGGTAGCTGTGGAAATTCGGGCATTTCACATTGCGTAGGATTCGAATCACCACTATAGAAAAAAATAGTGGGTGTGAAAGATCAACAAAAATGCATAGCGAACGAACAGCCCGAGTGATATCAGTGCTCTAATCTAACAATTTTTTCTCCTTTCGGGCAACCAATCTGAAACTGCGGAAAAATTATTAGGAATGACGTATTGTAGCTGAAAAGTCTCCAGAATGCTCACGGCGACAAATACAAGTATTGGCATTGCACAGATAAGATACTTCTGAAAAAGAAATATAGCTTTTTCGAAAGATCTTACTAAAACCAAGAACAATAATTGTACGTTTGGAAGGGTGCAATAAAGTATTGAAATAATTTGCAACGTCATTGCAACATTTCAGTTTAATTACCGGCTAGTAGCCCTCAACAACATAAATAGACTTTCCCTTTCCGCAAATGGTACGACGACGTCATTTATTGATTGATATGACATGTGGGGTTTAACGTCCCGGAACCACCATATGATTATGCGAGACGCCATAGTGGAGGGCTTTGGAAGTTTCGACCACCTTGGGTTCTTTAACGTGCACACAGATCTGAGCACTCGGGCCTACAACATTTCCACCTCCATCGTAAATGCAGCCGCCACGGCCGGGATACAAACGCACGACCTGCGGGTCAGCAGCTGAGTACCTTAGCCACTAGACCACCGTGGCGAGGCGACGAAGTCATATATATCACTCCAAAATGGTGGAACTCGTTTTTTTTTCATATTCCAACCAAACCCATCACATTCCTCATTCTGAACTATTTACACTGTATCACGCTGTCAATTCAGATCATTCAGAACTATTTAAATGGATCCACGGTCGTATGGGCCAGTGTGGTTTGTGACACAGCATTGGAAACCGACAGCTTCGGTTGTTGCAGGAGATTTAAAATAAGTGTTAGTATTCAGTGCATGAGTGGCGAGATGGCTTTGCTTTGGCTGCAGTATAATGAAGTTTCCTTCGCAAGGATTCTCGCTTCAAAAGTATTCTGTTAACTGGAAGTCAAAGCCCTAAAATGTGACGTAAGCCCAGCGTCTCCCGGTGGGCGTACAGTGCACATTGTTAAGTTAGCTTACTGAGGTAAAATAGGTGCAGTCTATATGCCGGTGTGTACCGCCGTAGTGGTTATGGTGCGCTACTGGTCAACCGAAGGTCGCGGGTCACATTTCGATGGATATGAGATGCTAGGGATCCGTGTACTGTGCGATGTAAGTGCACGTTAGAGACGCTAAATGCGCCAAGTTTCCGGAGCCGTACCCAATGGGGTGCCTCGTAATGATAAGGTGGTTTTTCGCAAGTAACCCCAGAACGATAGAACCATACGCCAGTGCAATACACGTACCGTGCTTTTTTCTCAATTCTTCATGAAACACAGCTACTGTGAGTAATCAATAACTGGTACCTATAACTCGGAATGTACTTCGATAGTTCTCATTTGTAAAATCACTCTCATGGCCGGATTTTTTTATTATTGTAATCAATTATTTTACCCTCAGGGTCTAAACACTACAGAGAGGAGAAGCATGTTACATATTTAAAATGAGAAGCGATAATTTCATACGAAATAAAAGAACAGAACTTGAGCGATTCACAGAATAATAAGAACAAGTCATGTGTATCAAAAAGCAGGATCAAACAGTTCTGCGTAGATTTTGCAAAAAAAATAAACACGGCATCTTCATGAAGTGAATGATGATAACTGGGAGAAGTAATAAGATTGTCCGGTGTTACTGTGAACGGCCCTCTACATTGACCACTCACGCATTTAAATTGGATACAAAGCAGAGTACAGTTATACAAAACGTTTATTGGTCATAAGTAATAGGTTGTAATGTGTTGTGGATTTCATTTTGCTTTCATCATTACTGCTTTGTAGTATCTGATCTGGGTTGAAGTTGGCATTTACGAGGTCTGTGCACGTTGCCCTCGTGTGGCTGTTGGTTTTTTCCACTCATACTAAATACATCGTAGTGCATAACCAGACGTCACCTACTGCACAAGCCAGGTGCTGCCTGTGATTATTATCGTAATTATCCTGATCGCCGTCAGCGTCATCGTGACTGCGTACAGTGGGTACGTTACACGGGCTGTGCCATTATGGCTGAAAAAGAATGTGTGGTATTGAACGCAACAGTTCTTCATCAGCAGCAGCACCATCGTCGTCATCATTAGCAGAGGCTATGGTGCACATGCCAACACGAACATGCAAGTCTCGACCTTAAGGTGCCTGGCCCCAGAAACCTTATAACGTTAATGTGTCACTGATAGCAGTAGTTGATTGTGGCATTAGATTCTACTGGGATGTGGTTTTTGGAATGAAGGCATGCCAATACGTTACGGTTCTGCTGCGAGGAACATGAACTTTTCACAGGTGGTCATTGTAGGTGATATAAATGATGTGGTTTAAAAACTGTTCACGAAGGTTATCGTTATGATAATATAGTTGATGAACGAGCCTGAGCTGCACTATTTTATGTCAAGGACGTGTTCAGGAAGGTGAAGCTGGGACTTCATTTGGGTGTAGGTTATAGCTATAACTGCTTGGTTTTACGTTGTATATGTGTGCTGTACATGTGCAACACGTCTTATTTTTATATTAGTGTCTCTATTGTTACGTTGTGTTTTATGTCAACACAATTTGCTTACTTCAGCTTCTGCTCCCAACAATTCTAACCATAAAGCTATTTCAAAGCCATTACAACATTCGCCTGCTGATCCACCGGTAGTTGCAAAGATTGCAGCCAGGCAAGGGTAGTGCCAATTCGCGACACTGAACATCAGGACTGACTTAATTTTGATATCTCTTCACCAAGCGAACATTGCAAGGTGATGTGCAGATTTCTAGTTTCTGACAATTCTAAAATTTTTATAGTTAGCAGCGGTTCAATTGATAATCACAAAGGAACGCAATAAAACAGCGTGATTGGCGTTTCACATTTATTAAATACTGAATTTTCTGAACGTGAAATCAGGATGTAGAAGTCGCAGAATCACGAAGCGTAGGCGGTGTGGTCCCGTACCTGCGAAAGAAGTGATGCTGTTGTGAGATGAAACTCACAAACTAAAGCGGCACCTACTAGTAAAATGCAGATCGATATAAATTGTTGGCTAATGGTAGAAGTTTATCTAAATATTTTTCTATCGAGAAAAGACCGATACATTAGTTGTAAAAAATAAAAGAAATCATTTCTACTGATATATTGTGAATACGGAAGTTTGGTGACCTTAAATTGGTATAGGAATACTTGTATTAGTGACGGAAGTTTATGTAAAAATTTCAAGCGCTTCGTGTCACAGTGATGCAACGAAACATAAACAAGTCCAATATGAACTCACTGTTTAGTGCGTGGGTGGAGAATCTGAAAATTGATATATTAGTCTAAATGATCGCCTCAATGAGCGAGCGAAAATTCACATGTGGTGAAAAATTGTATTTCGACACACGCACACACACACACACACTGTGTGTGAAAATACAGTCTTTCACCCCACATGTGAACTTTTGCTCACTTTATATATATATATATATATATATATATATATATATATATATATATATATATATATATATATATATATATATTGAAAAAGGGTTTATTGGCGACTGTTGCGACGGTGGTCCTACAATGAAACACGAGAAACACGATCGGGAAAGAGCAACGGTCAAGCAGATGCCGGCGATGATCAGCACGAGCCGAGCGAGAGAAGCCCAGCACCCAGTACCCAAGCGGTGGCGATGTTGCTTGCCAACGATGCGTTTTCTTCACAATTTGCCCCCGCCGAAAAAGAGCCATCCTGGCGACCTAAGAGTCTGGAGGCAGAGGGCTATGATATGGTTTAAGGTGGGCGACGTGGACGATGTCACGTTTACGCCGGCGCATGTCGTCAGATGGGGAAAGCGGCTCAATGAGAAAATTCAGCGGTGAGGTTTGCTCCAAAACGCGGTATGGGCCCTCGTACTTCGGAAGGAGTTTTGAGGAAATGCCAGGGGTTTGGTAAGGAACAGCCAGCCATACAAGTGATCCCGGGGAATAGCTGGGGCTTTGTGAAGAGTCGGCATTGTTTTTTTTTTTTGGCGCTGTTCTTCTTGTGACGTAAAGGTGCGTGAGAGTTCATGGCACTCTTCCGCATTTCGGGCAGCTTCGGACACAGATGGGCATTCGGATGCGACAGAACGGTATGGAAGGAGAGTGTCGATGGTGTGGGATGGTTCGCGTTCATAAAAAAGAAAGAAAGGTAAAAATCCAGTGGTACACTGTGCAGCGGTGTTATATGCGAACGTGATGAATGGAAAAATGCGATCCCAGTTAGCATGATCGGATGTCACATACATGGCGAGCATATCGCCAAGGGTGCGGTTAAATCTTTCCGTGAGCCCGTTAGTCTGCGGGTGTTATGCCGTGGTTTTTCGGTGAACAACATGACGTTCAGAAAGCAGAGACGTGACGACTTCTGATAGGAAGGCTCGACCTCGGTCGCTTAGTAGTTCTCGAGGTGCACCATGTCGTAGTATGAAGCGATGAAGGATGAAGGATGCTACGTCTCGCGCAGTGGCACTTGGAAGGGCGGCGGTCTCAGCGTAGCGTGTTAAATGGTCCACGGCGACTATGATCCACCGATTTTCATCTGATGTTGTCGGTAGAGGGCCATGGAGTTCAATTCCGATCCGATCGAAAGGTTTGGCAGGGCACAGAAGCGGTTGAAGCGCACCGGACGAGTGGAAAGGCGGTGATTTACGGCGTTGACAGTCAGGGCACCCCATAACAAATTTTCGAACGAAATTATACATTCCTCGCCAGTAGAAGCGACGGCGAATGCGTTCGTAAGTTTTGAAAACTCCGGCATGACCATATTGGGGATCGTCGTGAAAGGAGGCGCAGATTTGTGATCGCAAGCTGCGTGGGACAACCAAGAGCCACTTACGACCTTCGGGGGCGTAGTTGCGTCGGTGTAGCAGCCGATCACGAATGGCGAAATGAGCAGCTTGACGTCGGAGAGATCGCGGTACCACAGTGGTTGACGATCCAGAGAGACCGTTAAAAATGGAAGTGATCCACGGGTCCTTGTGTTGTTCACTGGCAAAGGAGTCGAGGTCGAAAGATGCGATGGAGTTGGTACCGGTGGTTCCGCAGGCCGAGTCGGGAGGTAAAGGCGAAAGCGACAGGGCATCGGCGTCAGAATGCTTGCGTCCGCTGCGATAGATGACACGAATGTCGTACTCCTGGATTTGCAGTGCCCACCGAGCTAGGCGGCCAGAAGGGTCTTTCAATGTGGCGAGCCAACAAAGTGCATGGTGGTCGAATGGGCGACCGTACAAATAAGGGCGGAACTTGCGAAGCGCCCACACTAGCGCCAAGCACTTTTTTTCGGTGACGCTGTAATTGGCCTCAGCTTTAGTAAGTGTGCGACTCGTATAAGCGAAGACGTATTCGGAGTAGCCCGGCTTGCGTTGAACGAGGACGGCGCCTAGCCCAACCCCACTAGCGTCTGTGTGAACTTCCGTTGCAGCTGTTGTGTCGAAAAGCCGAAAAATTAGAGGAGATGTTAGCAGACTACGGAGCGTGGCAAACGCGACGTCGCAGTCAGAAGACCAGGATGAAAGGTCTGCATCACCGCGTAGAAGGTTGGTCAGTGGTGACATGATCGACGCAAAATTTCGCACGAAGCGCCGGAAGTACAAGCATAGTCCGACAAAACTGCGTAATTCTTTCAGTGTAGTAGGTTTCGGGAACTCAGCGGCTGCTCGCAGTTTTACAGGGTCGGGTCAAACACCATTCTTTGACACGATGTGCCCTAATATGGACAGCTCTCGCGCAGTGAAGCGGCACTTTTTAAGGTTCAGTTGGAGCCCAGCGTTGATCAAACACGTCAGAACCAGTTGGAATCGAAGCAGATGTGTAGGAAAATCTGGAGAGAAAACGACAATGTCGTCGAGGTAGCATAGACACATAGACCACTTCAGTCCACGCAGTGTGTTGTCCATGAGTCGTTCAAACATCGCAGGAGAATTACAAAGCCTAAATGGCATTACGTTAAATTCGTACAGGGCATCTGATGTAATGAACGCAGTTTTCTGGTGATCAGCTTCTGCCATAGGAAGGTGCCAGTATACTGATCGTAAGTGTAAGGAGGAGAAGAATTCAGCTCTTTGGAGGCTGTCAAGGGCGTCGTCGATGCGCGGTAATGGATAGACTTCTTTCCGCGTCACCTTGTTTAATCGCTGGTAGTCGACGCAAAATCGTATCGATCCCTCCTTCTTTCGAACTAGAACGACAGGAGATGTCCAAGGACTGTGCGATGGTTGAATAACGTGAGGGCATAGCATCTCTTCGACCTGGTCGTTGATGACGTGACGTTCTGCAGCAGAGACACGGTACGGTCTTTGACGCAATAGCTGGTACGAACCGGTGTCAATGTAGTGGTGCACTGCGGAAGTCCGACCCAATTGCGGCTGAGAAACATCAAATTAATTCGCGAAGTGCTGGAGGAGATTAAGAAGCTCGGCGCGTTCATGGGCACTTAAGGTGTCGGCGATGAAACTCGAGAAGGTGTCACTCGATGAGCATTCCAGTGGGGAAAGGACATGAAGTTCGGTCGAGGCACTACTGCACGATTCGTCTGGAATGTTAAGGAATAAAGAGGAATCGAGGTACTCCACTCGACCTAAACATTCGCCGGCAAGTAGCGTAAGCGGTGCAGAAAGGGGGTTGTGGACGAAAATATTGCTTCGGCCCGCAGTGACGTCGAGTGTAGCGAAAGGAAAGGAAACGGCTCTGCGGCTCATGAAAATGTCGGAAGGTGTAAACATTACTGTAGCATCGTTATGGTCATCGCAGCAAACAGGGACAACGACAAGAAAGGCTGGCGGAATTTCAGTGTCTTCACGTACGACGAGTTTTGGGGACCGCACAAGAATTTCGTGCAAAAGTTCGTCAGACAGGTGCGAAAATTGAACTTCCCCAGCACCTCCACCAATGGAAAAAGGGTTTATTGGCGACTGTTGCGACGGTGGTCCTACAATGAAACACGATCAGGAAAGAGCAACGGTCAAGCAGATGCCGATGATCAGCACGAGCCGAGCGAGAGAAGCCCAGCACCAAGTACCCAAGCGGTGGCGATGTTGCTTGCCAACGATGCGTTTTCTTCTTCACAATATATATACATATATATGTGTGTGCGCGCGCGCGTGGGCGTGTGTGTGTGTGTGCGTGTGCGCGCGTGCGTGCGTGTGTGTGTGTGTGTGTGTGTGCGTGTGTGTGCGTGCGTGCGTGCGTGTGTGTGTGTGTGCGTGCGTGCGTGCGTGCGTGCGTGTGTGTGTGTGTGTGTGTGTGTGTGTGTGTGTGTGTGTGTGTGTGTGTGTGTGTGTGTGTGTGTGTGTGTGTGTGTGTGTGTGTGTGTGTGTGTGGAAATACAATCTTTAACCACATGTGAATTTTTCTCGCTCACTGTGGCGATCGTTCGCATTAATATTGGTTGCAGGAATCTGTTACGTTGCCATGTGTTTCAGATAAGGTTTAATGTACAAACACTGGAAAAGCTCACAATCATTGCACAGCTTTCTATTCTCTAAGAGATGGCAGTATATGGATCGTATGCTCTAAGGATGTACTTCGGTTGGCTTCACGTAAGTCATTTTGATTGGCTCAAAAGTAATGGCAGCCTTGTTGTGTCTTATTGCCCCATGTTTCATTGTACCTCCTTGGTCTCATTCCAGGTTATAGTGAAGCGCGGCTGTGCAATAAGGAAGGCACATCCTATAAGCCAATTATTATAGCCGCATGTCATCAATGGCTGTGATAATACGTTCAGCACCAAAAGTAATGAGAAAACAAATCATCATTGTTGCTCTTCTTCATATATGATCGATTCACTTGTGAAGTTTTGCGGGTGGATCTCTACATCTGTGCGCGAAGATTGTTTCATTATTATAAACTTACAAAAAAATCAAATGAATGTGTATATTTCGTTTTTGATATATATAAGCCTGAAAATGGGCACACTATAAACAATAAGTATACAATTACACGCAATTGAGCAGTCCCATACTACCCAGTGGTCAGTTTTACGCGTGGATTAATGGTCGTACCTTGTTAAAGTATTGTCATGGTATCAGTTGAATTGGTCCGTTTATCCCCAATGTCCAGCACCGAAGCCTCCTCCGTATGAGCCACCGTACGAGCCACCATAGAACCCACCATAAGAGCCACCATATCCACCGCCATAGCCTCCTCCATATCCACCATGGCCAAAACCACCATGGCCAAAACCGCGACCGTACTTTTTGGCCTTGAGGTGACTGAGGAGGGTGCCGTAAGCAACTGCTACGACAACGCAGATGACTAGGAGGGCGAACTGCAAAATAAGTAAGCATTGTACTTTAAGAAAATACAAGCCTACAGGTCTTGAACCATACCATCACACGGCATCACGTGGAACTACGCTTATTATTCAATGTCCTATTTGTATCAAGAAAAATCGCTAAAAGCTGTGCGTTTTCTTCGTTTTTAGCATTTCTGGTGAAAAATCAATTGTGCCTGTAGTTTCTTGGTTTAGCGTCAGAGCTCTGCGCATCAAAGTGATGTTAGTTGTGATAAGATATGTGGAACATGTAACAAAGAGCTGTATGTAAGCTCCTGCGTTCAGCACGTTTCGAGTAGTGCAGCCGCATTCACTTGAGCTGAACGAAGAAAAACAGCCAAGACAAGAATATTCTAATAGCTAACAGACAAGACCTCTTAAATAAGAGAATATTTCAATTGCAACTAGCATTACCACTTGAATTATTGCTGCAAGTAATCTCACTGCCAGTGTACTAGCGCTTGTATGTTACCAATTTATTACTATCAGATAAAATGCACTTAACTCAACAGGCATTCTAGCAAATGTTAAGACAACATTTATCGCTGTATATTTCCCTTTCACTGTGATCTGCCTTGAACACATAAAAAACTGGCCAAACCGGTAATAAACGCATTAAAACCGCACATGAATGCCTAAGCTTTCCTTACGAAGTATACCAGTCGCCGACTTAAGCATTTATAGGAGCTCACCAAAGTCCTCATGTTGCTTCACGTGCTCTCTAAGATCCTCTGCCGGGATACTTGGTTCTGGACCTCGCTAATAACGCTTTTATATAACCGCCTTTCAAAACTTCTCGGGAAGTCCCTTCTTCCGTGACGTAATGACGCCGCAGCTCCTTTGTGCAATAGCCGTGGGGCAAAGGTGATTTCATGGTTCTACATAGTAAGCGGTGGAGTAATGCTTCGCGAGCGATTAATCGAGCTCAAACCTGCAAATTCCCCACATCCTTGGCCCTTGAAATCTTTATGGTATATAGATGCCCAAACGCCTGATGAAAAGTCTGTCTGTTCGTCCACTTAGTCTGGTTTTCACCATATGAATTGCGCGAGGCGCTGAAGGAGTTTCGTCAAGGTCAGTGCTTTCTCGGGATGGTCCCACACGTGCCTGAGGTAATTTGATGCGTCCCAGCACGCGCGTCAAGTAACAACCTCCGGGTGCCATGTGTATTACGGAGAAGATTCTGCCACCTGTTTACAGTCTTATCGGAATGAACTGTGTAACTAAGACAGAGAGAGCATAAACGTTACAGTCTTGTCTGAAATTAATGTCCAACCAAGACAGACACATAACAGTTTCTTTTGCTAATCTTGTATTTTTTCGACCTGTAATCACATTGTTATGTTTACTTGTTCTCCAGTTTAGACGTATTATCAGGTCTGGCACCTTGCCAAGGTCTTCTTCATAGTGTTTTCAAGGCTATTGGATTAAACAACCGACTTTACAGCCGTAAGCACGAAGGCAACAACCATTATCTATCACACTTACAGTGGAGAAACTATGATGGAATTGGTAATTTTAATCGTGTTTATTTGGGTTTAAACCCATTTAAACACATCCTAGAAACGCCTCACTTTACTTGGAGTCAACCCGGCCGTTATAGTACATTAGAAGTGTGGCAGTTTGGGCTAGTTGGCATGACATGACGATAGCTGTAGCGCGAGAACAGAACGATGTTTAAAATATACAGTCCTTTAAAGTAAACCATTATGTAAAATCCCTGATAAGCGCAGTCTAATGACTCCTGTATGGGCTATAACGTGGCTAAAAAAAATAACTTCACCAGCAACAACTAGCTTATAACGAAAAGTTGTTTCTACTTGGAAAGAAACTTTGAGAATGTTTCAGCGTTGACTGAAGATACTTTGACCCGTGATTTTGTACAATAGTGCTTTGTACTATGCTGCCGTTTGATATTGTAAAATTTTGCCCAATGGCTGAAAATGTGCGTTCTGAAGCTGTGACATAACGAAAGTGCACTTTACTTGATTTTTTGTTGCTTACGCTTCCTCAAGGATGCTGTTTAGCGGGAAGATTGCCTGGAGAGAGAGAGAAATCAACGTTAATATCGAAACAGGGTTCCCAGCGAGGCCCTGTATCATCCTAAGGTGGGGGAGTTGCCCAGTCCAGGAATCCTCTAGCTTCACTTGTCCTCTTGGGCTTGGCTCTAGTTGTCATTGGTCGTCCAGGTACTCGAGGGTGAACTTGGCCTTCTACGTTTCGATTAGGTGGTTGTCATTGATCTTGGTGCTTGGTTCACGCCCTGCTCCAGTTGTGAGTCTTGGTTTGCATGGCACTATCATTTCAAAAGCTAGTGTTCTACGGTGTCCGATACGCCACAGAGCGGGTACATGTAGCCATGTGTCGTTGGATAAAGGCGATACATTAACGTTCCGTGTACGTGAGTGTTGCTTTGCAGGCGTCTGACGAGCAGGCTTTTTTCTTTAGTTTGTTTTGGTTGGGGTGAAGGGTACACTTATCGCTCCAGTCTGTAGCAGATTGTATAGAGCCGAAGTATTTAACAATAGCAACACAAGTGGTATCTTCTAAGAGACTTTCACACTAAAATATGAAGAAAGTGCAGACAGCTGAACAGACAGGAAGAAACAAGCGGAAGGGCAGGGAGGTTAGCTACTTCTTTGACCAACTGGCTATCCAGTGCTGGAGTAGGTGGTAAGGGGCATAAAAGATGAAAGAAAATAGACATTAAAGCAGCACTAAAGTGAAAAGCTTGACATTGGTATGCGAGTTGTGTAGACGAGCACATGCGAAATCCGACGCGTTACTCTTCGCAAGTGTGAGATCACGAGCCTGTGAGCGAAGCCTTGTGGCTGCATCACTTTCTCGAAGTAGCATAAGTGTGGAGTGGGCACCGTCAAGTGTAGATCGGGTGGCATAATCTTCGCGATTGTCACCACACATATAGCAATGACCTAATATTCTCTCATTCACTATGTTGCTTTGCTTCTCGACTGTGTGGTGCTGAAGAAGCCTTATACCAGCAACCAGCTGCGCACTAGGTCCATAACTAAATGCTGACATAAAACAATGAAAAGCTGCCTCGGAGACCAAGAAGAGGGACCAAGCTAGCGAATGTTCTATACAACTATGAACTCTGATGCTACAACTTTTAGCTCTGCGGCCATCAATGATGTCAGAGGTCATACTGAATTCACAGGTGACGGACTTCACGTGAATAACCACTGCCCTTGATGAGATTTAAGTAGAAGCTAAGCCACCTGCATGCCTGTAAAAGCACCCGCTGTGGTTCCTGTGCAAGAATGTCAGGGTGGCCTGTTGCAAGACGACTGTTTTTTTTTTTTCACGCATGCAAGGAATGGTTACAATTTTCACATAGGGAAAATTTGCGCCAGATGTACTTACAGAGATTGTGCATAAGGATGCGTAGGCGTCCTTAAAAAGATATTTTTACTTCCAGGAAGGCTTCTCATTCTATGTACTTGCAATTACAACTATGCTATAATTATCATTATAGATTTAGGCTTCCTTTTCATCCCTGATTAACTTTAATGTTTTTTTACACTTGCAAGACGTGTGTATTTTTTTACTGGGAAGTGAAGTTGTGTATTTTCCTTGGTACAATATTTACCACGTTATTATTTTTAGATACGATTGTTATAATAAATCACCCGATAAACAAGAAATGCGCAGAGAAATGCGTCACGTCATATAAACCATGTTATGTTAAAAGGAAGTCAATCGCTTTCAAACCAATGACATCAACACTTTATTTATGGGATTTGGCGAGTTTTCACTATATTAATGTGGGAACTGTAAGTGGCGGGGGTGACAAACAGAAAACATAAGCCAGCGATTTTCTGAAAACTTTTTTGCTAATAACAGAACATTGCAATTTCTAAACGTATCATTACAGTGAACACATCTGTCTTATCTCCTTTACAGTTTGCAAGCACGTGTTACCACTTGCCTGTAAACTGTGGAGGATGGATGGGCGGATGGACATAACTTTATTTATTACCTGCAGATTGACGGCCGGATCTAGGCCAACCGCGTCGTAGCGGTAAGGAGCGTCACTCAGAGTCGCAATGCAGTGGCTTACCACGGGACGGCTTCAGGTGCCTCCAATCGTAGAACATCATAGTACTGAAGTCATTATCCGATTTTTTTTTAAACATAGCCTTACCACCGTCTTCCAGGCCTGCTGAATGGCCCACACTTGGTCTTCGAGCTAGGAGCTTGCCGGAGCATCGCGCCAACACGCCTCAAGCAAGTCTGGCAATTTGTCATAGAAAAGCCGTGTAGTGGGTGGGCATTTGCTTTTCTTATTTTCTATGTCTGCTTACTCACGTTTACACATGATAGTGTCAGTGTCGGAGGATTGCCTGGGGTAGACGCGGTTGAGATGCACTGCTTTTTGAAACGTTCTCGTTTGTAGGCACCTCCTTTTTGTGACATATCTTGTTTAGTTTGGGGTTGTGAATGTATTCTGCTTTGTTTCTTGTGGTGGGTCGATATGTGGTGGTAGGTGAAAAGCTGATCCTTATCGTCCTGAGCTATATCGATATCCTGGGGTTATGAGTTGGTGTTCTCAGCCGCGGATGGTGAGTTCATAAAACTTGGGCTTCCGCTATATTAGAAATTAACAGAAAGACTTCAGATAACACATTGCCACTACAGGAAACTGCGGAAAGCAAGGAAGCAGGACAAAAATTCACTATAATAATACTTTTTTGCCTTTTTATTACCAGTTCAAAATAATATTTTTGTTTCTATTAGGTAAAGCGCTCGTTTCTTAATATCCTGCTCACAGCGCACACGTAGCTGTGTTTTCCATGATTGGCTGAAGAGGCATTGTCTTTTTGTTCGTCGTTTCCGGAAGCTTATTGTCGGAAATGTTTCTCATGCGTATCTAGGAAGGGAACTAACCTGTTCTACGAATGCAGGCACATTTCGAAACAGCCTTACATCTTTATGAGAAACCTTTTTCTTGTCCTGCCGAGAGAACATGACATTACATGCATATCGCTGTTGCGTAACTAAATGATGAGTATTTATGTTCAAGACACAATAAATAAATAAACACAACCAAGAAAATGACACTTCTACTTGGCTAACTGGAATTTGCCTACACATGTCATGACATCGATCAATACCGACTGATTATACCAACGTTCGCTTTCGAAAGACAGGTGCAAGAGAGCCTGCGCAACTAAGGAAAGAGAAAAAAAATACCCATCGCATGAAAAGTGGCTCTACTCATGCGATGGGAAAAGCCCCCCTTCTCGGGCGACTCGTCCGGTTGCCAACGAACCGGCTGCGCACTCCTTCACTCTCGGCGGCCGAGAAGGCAGCAGCGGATTGACGGCCTTGACCGAATTCATCGTGTATGCCGCTCGGATCTCTCACCACTTTCACGCTTGGATAGTTTCGTGCCTGCGACTCCACCGCGAGCTTGCCCCGTTTTCCTCATTTCGTTTTAACGCTTGTTTATTTCGTTGATATCCGGGAACTGAAACGGGTGCTGAATCGAAAGCAGCCCGTTTATAGAAAGCGCAGACCAGTATTTGGTGCCCGAAGGCGCGCAATATGCTTGCTCTACAGCACTTAAGTAACAGTTCTAAAGCTCCCACTGAGCAATGTTCTTTTAATGCCTCTCTGTGTTATCTCTCTATCAATATATCCAACGAAAGCAACAGCTCCTCTCAGGGTCGTATAAAAAAAATCTGTACTTTAAAACCTAAAAATTGTAGAAGCTTCTT